AGGAAATAAAGCATAAAACACAAAGAAAAATATTTGAAAATGAGATAGAAAAACTAAGAGAAATGTGAATACATAAATATTAACAATATGGAGTAATTTCAAAATTGAATGCAAACAAAAATACTTATTATATCAATACAAAATATTTTGGGGTTTTTACATTGTGAAGTTGTAATGAGAAAAAATTAAAAAAAGAATCATTATGCAGTTCTAGAAAATATGAATAATGTAATACATTTGAAATCATCTGGGAGTTTAAGCATTTTTAAATTAATAATAACTATTACTTCACACTAATGAATGAAATATTAAATTTATATAATTAAATATAATTAATAAAAATTTTGAAATTAACAATTTATAGAAAATAATCTGTAAAAGTTTGGCTAATTAAATTAATTATTAACAGCATTACAACTAGAGAAATTACAATCTGTAGACTGATTGAATAGCATAATTGATTGATTGTCTGATGTGCAAGAATAGTTGGGTATAAATCTTGTTCTGTTCTGCAAATTCTGTTTTCCAGATCTTCTAAATTTAATTATTAAAATAAATAAATATTTAAATAATCAACAAATGATGACAGTCTTACCTGGAGTGATAAATTTATTTGATTATCAATATATTTAACTAGTCAAAATTTCAATCAAAGTTATTTGTAACTTAATAACTTAGCAGTCATAATCAATTATATTCAGTTTATCACAATTGAATGATCTCATATTCAAGGCATAAAGACTGTAAAAATTATAAAATTATTTTATTCGAACCATATTACAATTTGAATTTTCCTTTAGTCCAAAGCCAAATAGCTTTATCAAAAATATTATGAAAAATTATTTAAATTTATACAGGGTATTTCAAAAAGAATCATCCAATTTAAAATGATTATATTATGAAAAGTAATGAAGATATACACTTAAGATTAATTTTATATTACAGGGCTAATCTTCAAGTTTTTCTTTATGTACTAAATCACAGTTGCTCAATATGTCCCCCTTTGAATGCATGGCATATGTCCAAATATTAGTGAATTTCATCCTAAACTTTTGCAAGCATGTCTGGATCCACTGCTGCCACCACTGCTGTTATGCAATTTTACAGTTCGTCCACTGTAGCTGGAAGAGAAGGCACATAAATGGAGTCTTTTATAAACTCCCCATAAGAAAAAAAAAATCACAAACACAATCACATCTTCATCTGACACATGGAGATGACCAGTGGATTGCTGTTTACACAGACAACCCGTGTCTTGGAATTGTTCATACCATCGCCTAATGCTCTGGGCAGTAGATGGTTCAACACCATATTGTCTATGAAAATCACACTGAACAGTTGTTACGGACCAACACTTCGCAAAGTGTAGAACACAAAATGATTTCTGTTGTCCAGTCACTATCTTGAAAATATGGAAGTGACTGGTAAATGAAGCGTACGGTTCTGCCAATTGGCAACTGCAAAAAATTTGAGAATTTCCTTTTTCTAACAGTATATCATTTGATCAAAATGGATTAAAAGCTGAATAGTTATGATTATTTTAAATTGAATGATTCTTTTTGAAACACACTGTATTTTTAATTATATTCATGAAAGTGTAGAAAATGTGGCTATAGTAATAAATGAAAAAAACAAAACTTCTTGCTTCTGAAAATCAAAAATATTTATTATGAAATGTTTTCAGTTTCACTTCAAACCATATGCATGCAGATCATACATAGAAAAGACTTAATAAAATTAAACACTTAATAATAATAATAACATTGGATATTTGGAGCAAGAAATGCATTTCTGAATACAAAAATATGTATAAATTAAGCACATGTCATTTACTGTCTGAACACAAATAAATGAGTCAAAGTGCTAACAAGTTAATAATATTGCTTCAGAGGCCATCTACAATGATCATTTGCTGCTACTACACAGTGATGTTGCTGCTGGTATAAAAAAAATTTTAAAAGTTGTGTGCACTCATGCTAGCAACTCTGTATCTTAAAAACAAACTCAAGGATCCCTAATTTTTATTATATTTTTAATTTCCTCATCTCATCAGAGTTTAATCAAAATAGTCCAAATTTTGAGAATAAACTCAGTTCAAATTCAATAAACTATATAGAAGAGGCTTTGCTAACCTTCCACCTCAAAAATATGTAACTTATAATATAGTGTAATGAAAAATCAAGAGAATTATATACAAAAATAAATAACCAAAAATATAAAGTATTGTACATGAGAGTGATAAAGAGTACTTAAGTAAAATTTATAAATTAACTTGTATACAAGAAAGAGAAATTAATCAATCTAATAATTAAATCCAAATGCAATCTATGATTCAAGTATCATGCATATTAATGAGTTCAAGATGTTTGTTTAAGATGGATCTCTAACCTACAACATGAGGACCAAATTTGGCCCCATAGCATATTTATCTGGCATGCATAACTTGTATTCACTGACAGTTTTACGACTAACATTTGAATATGTCAAAGCATTTAAATTTTTAAAAATTCAACTAGAATCAATATATGTTGTTGCAAATGATTTTTATAAAGCCTATTTAAAATAGTTTGTTAAATTTTACAAATCTCTGCCAGAAGAGAATTTTAAGAAGATTGCTTGGTGGAATAGTTTCTATTTTTGCTTCTATGTACTTTAGAAAACAAATATTTTCAAAAATAATATATATGAAATCAAAATATCAAATATCAGTGTTCAAAGAATACCTATAAGAGATTTTTAAAGTTGGATGCCGCAAAATTTGTCTCCAATTCTCATGACAGTCTTTCAAAAAAGCAGTTGCAAATTTCACATTGATTTATGTCCATTGTCATTCAGAAATAAAAAAAAGCCTTAATCTTTGACTGTACTGTATCTTTCAAACTTGGCCTCCAGACTTGTTAACAGGTTACAAGGCCCTTCTCAAAAAATGGTTGAAGACCACTGGCTTAAGATTCATATGTATATCTGTTATAAATGTAAGAGATAAATAATTGTGCAATTCCATAACTAAAACTGGTTTATCACAAAGAAAAATAATATTAGTGTTCAGTGTGATATTTGAAAGTAATCATTAAACATCAGATAAAAGCATTCTTTAATTCTCTTGTTAAAGATTCTAAAACTGGAACCAAAATAAAATGTTTTTCTGATTTTTTATTAGTTTTGTAAATATTTTTTGATATTGATACTAAAAACAGATTTGATATATACAGTAAAATCTCTATAGTCTGTCACTAGCCAGTCCGACAGATCCAGTAATCCAACACTCTACACAGCAACCCACGTGAGATTTTATAGTTCTTTTATTATAGTTTTAAAGTTAAATTTTGTAGTTTATATATATTCTTTTTCATAGTTTCTGCAGTATTCTATACTGTGTGATTAGTTTTGCTAAGTTTTTGTATTAATAAACAGAGTGATTTGTTCTTGTATATACTGTAGTTCTATTTATTTTATTCAAAATCCAGTAATCTAACACCTGCCAGTTTATGCTGGATTACAGAAACTCTACTGTATTTGATAAAATTAAGGTATATGAAAATAGATAAGCAAATAAATTTAAATAAACTAAATATAACTATGTATAAGAATTCTCATACAATCAAACAAATAGATCAGGAAACTATCATAATAGCTATAACAGAATATGATTTAATAAGAGTTTTGCTATAGCTATTGATAAATATGCAAATAGCCAAATGAAAGAACTAAAACTTTTAATGAAATCAAAAAAAAATATACTATTGATATACAGTAGTAGATTTAAGTTTTATTAAAAATGAAGAATAAATTAATTGATACATTATAATTCAAAGTGAAAATTTAGGTACTTTTGAATTAAATCATACAAAATTTTTTCCTGAATTCTTCTTATTGGCCAAAAATGTTTTAAAAATTACTTTTAAAATGTGATTATTGTTATTTTTAATCTCTTATTCTTACATCTAAAATCTTATTTTATAATTTATATTTTAGAATTATCATGCATCAAAGTTTCTACTTTTTAAAATTTTTAAAAACATTACATTCAATTATTTATATTTATGAAATAAAATGAAAAATATTTTTTATTTATCTTTAGTTCGAAACATAATTTAGAATCATTATTCAGCTAATTACTTTCTAAAATAAACTTTCCTATAAAAATTATAATTTATTATATAAATACATTTTTTATTTAACTTAGTCTTTTTATAAATTAAACCCAGTTCATTTAGTAACTTATTTTCAAAAAGTAATTCCAAATTAACATTAAATAAATTATATAATTTTACATAAAATTAACAAAATTTTAAAGAATTAAAAGCTATTGGCTTTTTTCAGTAACATATCATACAAGGAGCAGTTGTTTATATAAGTTTTATTTGAGGAAATGCATTTCAGGACTTTACAAAAGGACTGAAGAGGGGTCATTAAGTCCTGAAATGCATTTCCTCCAATAAAAGCTATATAAACAACTGCTCCTTGTATGATATGTTACTGAAAAAAAAAAACAAAACAAAAAAGCCAATAGCTTTTAATTCTTTAAAATCCACAACAAAACCAGTAACAAAATGTTTAATTAACAAAATTGTTTAATTGGAATTTCTAGAAAATAACTAAATATTCACTTTAACATTTTCAAATTTTGCAATTCATCTTCAAAGATAGAAATATAAAACAATGATTTAAACTTTAATGCATTTCAGAAAAAAAAAAGCTTCATTGAAGACATTATTTTCAAATTTTATTATTTTATTCTTTAAAATATGTTTAAGATGAAATTTTTTGTTTTACTGAAATTTAATATTTCTGCCCTTGAAGATGAGAAATGTAAATCTTGAAAGTTCAAGAACTGAAGAGTGGATATTTATTAATTTTTTTTAGAAGCTTCAAGAAAGTAAAGTTTTGTTGAATTAAACTTAGAATTCATATTTGAATTTAAATAGAACTACAGTATTTAAATATCATATTTTATACAATTCAATAAATTATTTTAAAATTCTCAATAAATCCTCTTACCAACAGAGCAGAGCAAAAATAGCTAAAGTCCATTTCAAAGGTGTGAGTTTCTTCTTTTTATTAAGACTTCCATCACAACAGCGACATAAAAAAAATATAAGAAACGCTAGGAGAGTCAAGATCAACCAAAATCCAGGTATGGCAATTAATATGCCTAATGCCTGAAAAATATAAATAAAATAAAATAAATAAACTGGTATGTAAACTTTATGATATACAAACTATTATGTAGCTTAATTAATTAATACAACCTTAACATTGAGTGAAGTTTAAATAATTCTAATGTTTTTGACCCAGTTAATGGATCATCTTCAGGTGTGGACATTTGAAAGTTTCCACTTTCAATTGTCCACACCTGAAAATGACCCATTAATTGGCTCCCACCTGTCACCTGCTGTTAAAGGTGCATTGAGTGATTCAGGTGAATAAACACAATGGCTCGTTTAACATCCTCGTTAATGATACATATATTTTGAAATAAATAAAACTCAATATTAAAAAGTTTTCATTCTTAACAAGTTTGAAATTACATTACAATAAATGTTATCTTGTAAATACTTTATTAACTTTTCAGTAATAATAAAATATAATATAATTTAAGCCAGTAAAAATCATATATTTAGAATATTCTTCTCAAAATAATGAAAAGCTGAAAAATTCAATAGATTTTGACTCCTGTTTTTTGTTAATTTCAATAGCAAAAAATGACATTTTTCTTTCAATTCCTCATTATTTTAACATCTAAAATAAACACTAATATTAATGATTTAATATTCAAATACTTAAATAAGATATTCTAGGTAATATTTGCAATCATTAACACAATTTAATATAATTGTACTTAATTGTATTATGTAATGTAAAAATGCACTGTAATCATTTTTGCTGAGGATCAATAAAATTAATTTATTTGAGTAACATCTGATTGCTTGGATTGATTATGAGATATTTCATGTACTGTATATTCATAATATCTCATTTTTCATCCAGCTTTCTGAATATTCACCAACTAAATGCTGACTTAGCTTCCATTATCTTTTATGTAATCATTTTTTATTCATACACTTGAATAGAACTTATTCTATGTATCATCGCTCCATAATTTTCAGGTCATTATATTTTCCATTTTATGAATTTTAAAATATTTTTAGAATGCATAAAATGAATTTATAATAAAAATTTTATATTTACTGCAACAATTACTTTATTCTGTGCTTTTTTCGGCTGAAATTAAATATTTAATGTTATTGACTGTTCCATTATGAATGATAAAAGTATTCAAGTTTTATATGAAACAAAGATTAAAATTAAATGCAAAATACAATCATGTTTAGAATTAATTCAAACTGCTTTTCTCCAGGAAAATGTTACAGGAAACTCAAGTAATTTTATATTATCTACCTATTATCAGACATCAAGATAGGGCCTCTTGTAAATTTCTGAAAACCCAATTTAACCCAGTGATTCCCAAACTTTTCCAAGCCACCGCTCCTTGGTTCCTTAAACTTATACCCAATGTCTCCAATTGTACCCCAATGTCCCCTAACTCATTTTCCCTTGTGTGAGAAAGACTTAGAAAAGTTTTTTTAAAAATATTTGTATGAACCTCACACTTGTCATACATTGTTCTCCACATCTGGAAACCGTTAAACACAATGTTTTTTTCTTACCCATTTTATTGGTGGAGAGAAAACAGTTGTCAGTGACCCCAACCTACGTTAGTACCCTGCCTCCAGTGCCCCTCTGTCATCCACTTTCTTCTTTTTGGCCTCCTAGATTTACTCGTCACCTACAGGGGTAGTGCCCATTTTGAGAGCCCCTGATTTAAGTATTTAGCTTTCCTAAAACATTTTTATTCCAAGAAAACAGTTTAAATAAAAAAACATAATAAATAATAATATTAATATTTGAATTTGGCACCATATTCAAATAGATGAGGAAAAAATACTTAATTCTGAAATTAAATTATATTCAACTACTTCATGTATCCTTGGCTCAATATTATTACCAATATTAAAAAGCTTACTTCAGGAAGCTAAATTTTTAATTGAATATAAAATAAATCTAAATGTCATTGTTCTTTAATAAGAACAATGACATTTAGATTTATTTTATATAAATTGTAAGCTGAGGTTGTCCTAGATCAGGATGAAGACAATTACTATTATGCAATTAAAGATTTAGCCTCCTGAAATAAGCATTTTAGTATTGGTAAATTTTCTTCAAAAATGTTTTCATTCTTTTACATAAATTTATATTTTATTATTTAATATTAATACACTTCATGCATGTCTTACAAGTATGTTGCATGTTTAAAGACTGTTTTTAAAAAAATGACTTATGCCAGCAGCATAGTTTATTCCAAATAATGAAATATTAAAATTAATATAATCATAATGTTTATATAAATTTCTGAAATATATTTTCATTTCAAAGTTCTATGACAAAATTAAAATATACAGTGAAATCTTTAAGTCACTCCTTGGTGTGGGGAAATGGGAGGAGTTTCTAGGAACAAAGTAATGAAGTCACAACTAAATGGGCGTGGTCCACTGCAGAGCAACTTTATAATCACACTGTATAATCATACTATTCCAGAAATTCTTGTAAAAAAAAACACCATTTGTTGGTATCAAAACTAAAGCAATATTCTTAAAAAATCATATTCAACTTCAAACCAGTTTTTATCACATGTTTTCTTGCCTCTGCTACTCTACTCTACATTGAAACTGCTAAGCCATAAGCTTGAAAATAGATTTATTTCACAGGATCAGTAAGCTTACAACTTACTGATTTTGAATACTGTGGGATTTACCTTCAAAGCTTCTGAATATAAATCCTAAAATTGAAAAGATAAATATAACAAGATGCAGAATCAGTACAAGTGGTAGAGACAGGAAAACTACAATAAAATGTTTTAAATATTCAATACCGCTTCATAAACATAGAATATAATACTTTAATTTGTGAGAAAAGTGTATAATTACATAAGCAATCAACCAGTCTTTATAATTTACTGAATATATTAACAGGAATTACATGCAAAATTCTTCTAAAATCACAAATTAAAAACTGCTTATGCATAACTCTATAATAATGGAAACATAATCTATATGTTTATTTTTATTAAATTTATTTATTCAATAAATAAATTCAATAAAAATAATTAATGATTTACAGGACTGCCAGAGAGACATACTTGACGAAATTGATGTTTATTTAAAAGTTTATCAAAATAAAATTTATAAAGATTGTGATAATTTATTAATTTTCTATGAGTCCTCTTCCAAGCCCTTCAGTCTAGAAGTGGGCCCACAGAACTTATCTGGCCAGAGGAGAAATTATCTTGTCCTAAAGTATCCCTTCAGGCTCAGATCAAAGATTTGTATTCACTATCTCTCTTATCAGAACTGGTGATTAGACCCACACAAACACCATTTACCTTACGCTTTTATGCGATATAGCAATCTATTTACAGTTAGATGTAGTAATAAATCCAGAATTACTGAAGGGAGGGCCAACTCAAAAATTAAATATATTTGAATAATTAATAAGGATCTCTTAATGCATGCATGACAAATGTATTGCAGATGTATTGCATAAACAATATATGCCATCATATATGTTTTTTAAAAATATTTTGAAGTTCAAACAAATAAATTTTAATTTTTTTGATGTCAATGATGAGGGCTTAAGCTCATGTATCCCTTATGGATCATCCCCCGGTTAGGCATTATAAATGCCTAACAATAAATGTAAAGAGCATTTTATTCTAAAATCGTAAATATAAACAAAAATTATCTGTATACATTAAGATTTATTTAAACTGAAGTATACAGTAGTGTATATTTTAATTTATAATTATATGTATTAATTCCATATGATTTGTGATGGTAGCCTAATTTCCAAGAATATTCACGTTATTCACACAAGTTTCTCTCCACGTACAGATGTACAAATTCGCATATCATTATTAAATCGTTATTAAAATAGAAGTTTCGACAATTGCAAAAGATCCTATCGATTTCCATCTTTAGCCGACGTCTTCCTTTTAATAACTTCATTCTTTTAATAAATTTTCGATTTAAAATCATTTTCTTTGTAAATTTTTTTCCTTGTATTTTTGCTATTAAATTACGATTTTATGCGATTGTCGTTACTCGTTACTCGTTATTACCGTTTTATAATCGAAAAATACAAATTGCCATTCTCATCATCGTTACGTGATAACGTCGTTCGTTCTATATAATTTATCTTTGGATTCCCACTTTAGAAAACACGTTAAGAATTAGATACATTTATGTTTCAATTAAATACAAATTTAAGCAAAAAAAAAAAAAAATTGTTTTTACTTCTTTTACTTGAAGGCAAATAACTTTTAGCAAATACGATACCTTTCGCGCTATTTGCCAAGGGAAGAACATGAAACTTTTCGTTTCATTTCGTCCTTCTTCCATTGGCAAATGGCCTGTTTTGTCGTCAAATTAGTACATAAAACCGAAATAATTCTGGCTAATATTTTGGAAAATGTACACCTCGTTTCAGATATGTCTGTACTTAGAAAGGGCGAATCCCCCATTCCTCCATACTAGTAACGACGTAATGTGAATAACATCCATTATTTATTTAACTCGAATATTGATTTTCTTGACTAATACGTAATTTATAGACTATCTTATATTTTAATTTATAACTTTATCCAGTGGAGTAACTAAGTTTTACTCTTGGACTCTTGGAGGATGATCTAAAAAGTGTAATCAGAGTGAAGAAAAATAAGCATAAAATACCGTTTATTTATAAATAACAAAGTCATTACAATTCTAATTTTAAATTTATCGTTTAAGACGAATATATATATATATATTTTAAATTTAAGTTTTATTCCTAAAGTCTCTGGAGATCCAAAACCCATATTATGCCATAGATTTTATCAATATTTCGTAATGAATTTGTGATAAAATGAAAAGTTTAGAAACGAACGCTGCTACATACGTAAAATTTTTATATTTCTTTTATTTATATTTAATATTTTATTACGATTTAAAAATGACAAATCCGATTTTAGATTAATGCGAAAGCGTGCGATGGGAATGGAGTGAATAAAACTACTGCTGGTAGTTGGTTTCGGGTTCGTGCATGACCAACGGGCTGGCACGTAGATTTTTACGAGTCTAACACTTAAATAGGACCTTAGAAAGTTCTCCTGGGAACCCCTTGGCAG